TCCTACCTGCAGCAAAATCGAACGGCAGATAAGCTATGCTGTCATGTGGTGACTGTCGTTTGATTGCGTCTCTGGAGCCCTTTTGCAGCAGATCCCATGTATTGAGTGGTGTGTGTGGTGGTGTTGTGCCTCTGGACGGAACAAACCGTTTCGCTGTAGAGCACATATGCGTAAGTGTGTGAGTGTTGTGTGATGTTATAAATAGGTCATAGGGCTACCTACCCAAGGACAACCAATTGTGGACCATTGGAATATGTAGACCATCGTGTGATGCTATAAACAGACAGACACGTATCAGTGGGCAGTAATAGGGCTACATACCCAAGGACAACCAACTGTGGACCATTGGATTTTGTAGACTATCGTGTGATGCTATAAACAGACAGCGGACAGACATTGGGCTACCTACCCAAGGACAACCAACTTTGGACCATTGGACTACGTACGTAGACTAACGTGTGATGCTACAGTCATAGGGCTACCTACCTAGGGACGAGAGACTGTTCAATGACGAGTACTTCCTATCGTTTGAAAGACTGTCATTGGATGAGGCGGCGGTTCTAAAAATAGATGAGAGGAAGCTCTTCTTCCCACCTGTGGTTTGATCAGCAGTGGTGGGGGTTTGGTAGGTAAGGACTTGAGTATGAGATTGCACTAGTGCGTTTATATCGATATGATATTCGAATTTAGTATATTACGTAAACTACGTATACCATAATATAGTACGTATATTAAGTACATCCTATTATATTGCTTCTACTATGTATACCATAATATAGTGCATACATTAAGTACACCATATTATATTACGTATATTATGTATGCCGTAATATAGTGCATATATTAAGTATACCCTAAAATATTACGCATATGATGTATATCATAATATATTACTTATATCAAGTACACCGTATTATACGACGTATAATAGTATACCAAGATATAGTACGTATAGTAAGTATGCCATAATATATTATTGATATCTAGTATACCATGAAATATCACGTTTACTAAAAATACCATAGTAAATTACTTATATTAAGTACACCATATTATACTACGTATAATAATATACCATGATATAGTACGTATAGTAAGTATGCCATAATATATTACTGATATCTAGTATACCATGAAATATCACGTATACTGAAATTACCATAGTAAATTACTTACATTAAGTACACCATATTATACTACATATCTTACGTATACCATAATATAGTACGTATATTGAATATAGCTTCTCGCATATCCATTAACTCGCCCTGTGAGGGGGCATCTATAAATGTCCATACTGTATCGACATATCAACTTATTGCGTACATCGAATTGAAAGTGGCTCCTGCATAGCGTGACTACTACTATGAATCAAACGTATTCTTTACTTTTCGTTTTGGTATTATGTCTGATACTATATAATTCATACTTAGTAAAGTACCCCGTACAAACATTGCAAATGTTTTCTGAAAGACCTTACCACATACGATAGAATCCGTTATCTGACACATTTCACCAACACAACCACGCTTTCTAAAACGTATTTGTTTTGTACAAAGATACATACTACGAACTGTTCTATGAACATTCTATGTACCAGAAAACATTTGAAATAATATATATTTATTGTGATATATTCAACCAGAAAGCGTTAAAAAAGAAGACGCTCGCACCACACTTACCAGATACCGACGGCTCAGGATCTAATTGTTGCTTCTGATTGGATTGTTCTGATTGAACATCCACTATACTCTGATCTGATTGGCTGTCGGTTTTATCCGGTATTGGTTCCTCGGCCTGGATTCAATACGAAAGCATTCCGTGAGCAAAACGTACCCCGGAAAGGAAACCTAGTTGTAATGTATATACATACATACATACATTTATATATATATATATATATAACACACACATACACACACACACACATATATATA